CTGTGTAAGTGCGAACATTTGTGGCCCGTTAAAAGGTATTATAAACACTAACGTTGTGAAAGAGCATCGTCATAAACGACTACAACGTATTGATGACCCATTGTTAGAGGTGGTTCTTGAGAACACACAGCTGTGCCGAGGAGTTTCAGAGGTGGACGTTGTATTTATTGTCCACAGCTCTGCTGACCATTATCACCGTCGGCAAATACTTCGGACAATTTTCCAGAAGGAGAAAACATACCAAAATTACACATTACGACATGTATTTCTCCTTGGACAAAGGAACGATGTGAAAATCCAGGGTCATATCAACCAAGAATTCAGACAAAATGGAGACATTGTCCAAGGTGGGTTTCTGGACACATATGGTAACCTGACGTATAAAGCTGTTTTTGGAATAAAATGGATCAGTCACAACTGCAGAAATGTGAAATACGTCATCAAGATCGACGACGACGTTTATACTGATATCTATAATTTTTTTACACACGTGTACCATTCACATAAAGATGATACCAGAATACTATGTTGGGCATCGAACATGCCGTACGTCGTTATAAGGAGAACGGGGAAATGGAAAGTTCCGAAATTCGTTTTTAGACATTACCAATCCTTTCCTGTTGATTACTGTAGTGGTTTTGGTGTCATTATCCCCGGGAAGATAATTCCAGCGCTTTACAAGGTGGTGTTCATGGTGCCATTTCTTTGGATAGATGACGTATTCTTATATGGAATGGCCCGTGGTTTCATAACAGGATTGCAAGACCTTGGTGATGCTCATTATAAGGTTGGGGAGGAAGAAGTATCGACGTGCTTTAAAAAGCAATCGACGTGTGAACTTATCTTTTCCCTTATTTACCCAAACCGGATTTTGCCAACATGGAGACACCGACAAAGATATCTTCAAAACATTAAGAAACTTTGAAATGCTTACAACCCATCTTCTAAGGTTGAATAAGAAGGAAGTTCGTTGAGAACGTCGTTATAACTGTGCTTGTTGAAATTATCAATGATTATCGATGATTAAAATGAACGTATGCTTTATCTACATCGTGACACACCCTCGTGAGGACTAGGTAAGAATAAGTCGCAGTATCCTTTGCGTGTCGTAAGAGGCAACTATGGGGTAACTGGGTGTGGTGTGACGTGGCTGAATCAGTGTCGTCCAACCCCTACGGCGTTGTACATTGTTTATACTTTGTCACTGTTTTGTCTCGTTTGGATTCGATTTATGGAAAACCTGCAATATTGTTGTCTGCGGCGTAAAACAAAAGGAAATAAACCTTTCTGCACAAAAAAGGATCTATATAATTTACCGATGCAAGTAGTATGGACGGTCCAGGAATTGCTCGTCGTCTCCACGACCATCCGGTACCTGCACGACACCGACGGCATATACTGTTAATTTACTCAGTAGTTTGCGTATTTAATGTCATTTATGTTCTTGCAAATTTAGATGTTTGATAATTACGTTTGAATAGTCTACAGGTTAATGCATAAAATAAATACAACTTATTTGATGAACTTTGTAAGAAAGCACTCAACCTGTATTGGATGGCTCATGTGAAAATGTCGGGGGCAAATAGGTGTAATTTGGCTATATTGCTTTAAACGACTTCTTCTCTGGAACTAAAAGATAGATATCAACCATATTTGTTTGGAAGCATTCTCCGGTGGCGAGGATTCAAAATTGCACAAATGGTGGGGCTGACCCCAAAGGGGCTGAGGGGCGGGACCAAATTGGGGTAATTTGGCTATAATGCTTTAAACGACTTCTTCTCTGGAACTAAGAGATAGCTATCAACCAAATTGAAGAATCCCTTGTTGGTGGGGATTCAAATTGGAGAAATGGAGGGTGAAGATCCCCACCTTTAACCATAATGGTACAATTGAGAATGTAATGAGAGGAATGCACATATGCTACCAGGACTGGCCCTTCTGTTCATCTGTCCGGCACTCCCAAAAGAGTTAGAACCTTGACCATAACATGCTATGTTTTTGTTATGAAGAGAATAATACCTTTAATATGATTTATCCTGGATCATAACATGGTAACGGTTCAGATCTACATGTTACATTTGTATCTTGAGAAATACACATTCATGCTATCAGGTTTGACATCCACCCATTTTAAATGCTGACAGTCCAAATTACGAAATATTTGCAGTATTATATATACATGTACAATGCAAATGTGTATTTTGACATGATTGCGTAAATATCCAGGTGAGCAATACAGGCCCTATGGGCCTATTGTTGTTTGTTATATTTATAATCACAAATCGCTGCAATAACACCACTGGATCAGCTTGAAACAGAGCTGGATTTTCACGAGACATGTTGTGCCTTGTTGTTTGTTTGTTGTTTAACGCATTAATATTCCAGCTATGTAAAGGTGGTCTGTAAATAATCGAGTCTGGACCAGACAAACAAGTGATTGATAGCATGCTCATGGCTTTTCGCAATAGGGATACGATGACATGCATCAACCTATTCAGCAAGCCTGACCACCCGATCCCGTTAGCCGCCTCTTACGACAAACATAGTCAGCTCTTGCGGCACGCATGGGTTTCTGAAGATGGGTTTCAGATGTTAGATCGCAGAGGCTTTGGAACCCAAGGAGCTGGATCGCCAAAGTTTCTGCGTTAATCAGATAAATGGAATGTAAGCGCTCAGTTATTCGTCGGTCGTCATCACCATTTTTGATGTTGCTGACGTCACAGGCATTACAGGATGGGATCGTCTACAACGCTCTCCCTGCTACGCTTATAATTAAAAACTTCTGCTAACCTCTGTATGGTGACATAGGAAGAGGCATCCTTCCCTAGTGTTGTACTCATATCTTAATGGATGGCTTTTGGTGTTAAGCCCCTTTTCTGCAAGAACTTGATCACCGCAAGTTTCCGAAGGATACCCATTTGTTAAAGGTTACAGAGCCCTGTCATAGCGAAACAGTTTGCTCAATTGCCTCAATTTGTGGATATACCTCTATAAGTGTTTATGTGACGATATGCGGCTTTTCCAAGAGGTCGGTTACATGACCGCGAAACTGGCGTTTACATTTGTGTGAACGACACATGTGTGTGAACGACACGCTACTTCCACATCAATGGGAATTGGGAATTCTCTAACGCGAATGAATACAGAAACGTTGTTTCTGATCACTCAGATCCTTTAATCTTGAACTTACCGTTTTAGCTTACATTGGGATAAGTCAAATAGTTTGATTGAATGCTTGTTCAAGAATTTCCTCGCTACGACCTATCCCAGTGATCAAAACGAAGAAATGCACATCCAAACTGTGGACTGGATCCGTGTTTAGACTTACAGGTAACAGCCTTGAACAATCTATAATTAATTAGCATCTATTTGACACATCTTTGTCATCACCTTTCAATGATTAACCAGTTGATCAATGAGGTCTAACACGTGTAATCGCCACAGGTTCACGAACACCTACGTTTATCCATTATGATGTCCTGTATTTAATGTAAACGTATTGCGACGCGCTGTCACTGTGACTTACTTACTGAGGTAGTTCCTTAGAGTCCTTTTTCATCTAATGATTATATTATTTGGATCTATTTGTTGTAACCAAACTACAAAAGATGTTCCTGTGGAGCAAGTTGAGCATACGAACGCTCATGTAACCTCTCCTTTTGATGAACTATTTTATTCCGGGTTACAGCTGGTTGTTGTATGGACGTCCGTGTTAACATGAAGTCACGCGTACTTAATAAGTGAGCGCCGCTTTTAACAGTATTCCAGTTATATCACGGCGTGTCAGCTTAATGTGGGAGGAAGGCCCAAAGTGATGCAGGTCTAAGACGTTTACCACTTCGGTGAAACCCACGAGCACGGGTATGGTGCTGACAAACCTAGAAACATAATTTGGGCGAACCGGGATTCGAACCCACAATCATAGGTTTCTGGCGTGCCCAAGGGACGCAACTCTGCGCGGCGCCTTAGGCGACTGGGCCCCCCGTGCCCCCGCGTACTTATAATTAGTGACATTTTGAGATAGATATACACCCCTGTAGGTATAAACCATTGACATACAATTTTATAAGAATTGACTTTTTTTGTGTGTGAGTTCACTTGAGGATGAACCTTCATAGAATGAGAACAAAATTGTATGAACGTCGGAGCTTGCGACACAAAGTGACATTCAATTCTTAAATCACATCATGTTATGTCCACACCAAAAAAGTTTCACTGTTAAGCAATTCTCTGAGGTTCAGTCAACCCTCCTAGGTGGAGACCCGTGAAGGTCCGGGGTAGAATAGGTCTTCAGCAACCCACGCTTGCCGTAAAAGGCGAGTATGCTTGTAAGAGGAGACTAACGGGATCGGGTGGTCAGGTTCGCTGACTTGGTTGATGCATGCCATCGATCCCAATTGCGTGGATCGATGCTCATCATATTAATCACTGGATTGTCTTGTCCAGTCTCCATTATTTACAGACGGCCATTATATACCTGGAGTATTGCTGAGTGCGGCGTTAAACAACAAACCAACCAATCAAATACTAGGTGGAATAGTGGTCAGTGCGGCGTTCACCAACAAACAAGTCACTTCTAAATCCCACCCAGAGATGTTTGTAAAGATACAATTATAGAACGAAAATATTTGAGTATGCGAATTGTTTGCTTAATCCCCTTTCTTTACCCCTATACTTCCGTACAATATTTGAGTGAGTGAGTTGGATTTAACGCCGCTTTTAACAGTATTCCAGTTATATCGCGGCGTGTCAGCTTAATGTTGGAGGAAAGCCCGAAGTGATGCAGGTCTCAGACGTTTACCACTTCGGTGAAATTGTGCTGACAAACCTAGAAACATAATCGGGGCGAACCGGGATTCGAACCCACAATCATAGGTTTCTGGCGTGTCCAAGGGACGCAATTCTGCACAGCGAATCGCGGCGCCTTAGACGATTGGGCCACCCCTGCCCCCTACAATATTTGAGTGAATACATGACACTTTCATGGATAACAGCTTCATTTATTCTTTTTCAAGACGCTTTAGGGCTACTTCTTGCTCAGTCATCAGGTCAATACTGGGTTAGCGCATAGAGTTATATATACATGATGATATGTTCACACAAGGTAGGATTAATATCCATAGATTACAATATAATGACGAAACATAAGCAGGGCCTATCAGGATTTGAACCAACGTCCATATATTTCTGACACGCAAAAGGGACGCAACTCTGCACAGAAGTGAAGGTGAGGTGAGTGTGTGTCGTGTGAGTGTTGCTGCTGAGATACCATGTCGCAGTTTAACATTAATACCCCACTCAAACACAGTATACTGAGTCAACACGCCCTTGTTTTAGCCCCTTAATGCCGAGCGCCAGGCAGGGTTAAAACAAGAACAATCTTTTTACGTGTTTTGGTATGGCGCTGACGGGGATCGATCCTGCGAACATGGATGAAAGATGGCTATCTAAATTCCGATATTCCAAACATTGTAATTTAAATGAAATATGTCTGAACTGAACATATCTTTTTACACCTCCCGTTCTACTTCTCTGTCCTTCCTTCACCCTCCCTTCCTTTTTCTCTTTCGTTTCTTTCAATACCAAAAAAAGTGGGGGAAATTATGCCTTTATTACTGGTAGTCTTCGGATCTTAGTATTTGGGGAAAAAATAATTTTACACAGGTTTATTGTTTTCATGCAAGCCGCCCGGTGTTGAGGAAAAATAACATAGTAATGATATGGACTTAGATCATGCAGTTTTGTTACTGCAGCACGCGCCATCCCGGATAGGAAATAGTCATCGATCCACATAAAGGGAACAAGCCTGGTCGCCTTGTACAGAGCTGGAGTTATCGCCCCTGGTATAACGACAGCAAAACCACTGCAGTAATCCAAAGGAAACAGATCATACTGCCTTAGATCGTCCTTATCAATGGACCACTTCCCCCCTCTGTTGACAAGCACTGTTGAACTCTTCCACGACCAACATAAAACCCTGTTATCGCCCGTATATTGATGATAAATATATGTGAAAAACATGCGCAAAGAAACGTAAACGTCATCGTCCATTTTGATGACGTATTTCACGTCCCTACAGTTGTGGCTGATCCATTTCAATCCCATAACAGCTTTATACGTCAGATTCCTATAACTGTCCTGAAACCGACCTTGGACAATGTCGCCATGTTGGTTGAATTCTTGGTTGATTATTTCCTGAATTTTCACGTCGTTCCTTTGCCCAAGGAGGAATACATGTCGTACGGTATAATTTGTGTGTGTTTTCTGCTTCTGGAAAATTGTTCGAAATATTTGCCGACGGTCATAATGGTCAGTAGTGCTGTGGACAACAAATACAACGTCCACCTCTGAAACTCCTCGGCACAGCTGTGTGTTCTCAAGAACCACGTCAATATCAGCATCGTTAATACGTCGTGTTCGTGTACGACCATGTCCATTTGGCATTTTCTTGTATTCATCATCCAGGCCTTTCTCCCAATCTTCACGAAGATGATGTGATTCGCCTGAAGCTAAGATTGTCTTATTTTGTACTGGACGGGTTCCCAGGGCGATAACAATAACAACTGATACACAGATCTGAATACAGATAAGACACGTGATTGTGATGCTCCCAGCCAAACGCATGGTGGAAGGCCGCTTTGAAATGAAGATCAATGAATACTCATGTTGGTATATATGGCGTTGTATTACAACAGTAACAGCAGGGATTGATGTTATCTTGTCGACATGGTCTTATGTAGCCCGGTCATGTCCTGAAACATTAAAACTAATTAAGGACATGCTTTTGGAAACGAATAATCAGTTTCTTGTGGCGTCATAGAAAGTAAATCTCTCACCGTGACTTTTCTTATTTTGGTTTAAGGGTGTCTTTTAAAAATACAAGGTGGTGTTCTAAATAATGTATGTCATATTTAATATGTTTTAGTTTTAGGACCTTAAAACTCTTGCCGGTCGAGTGCAATAAAGATTATCTTTAGACACACTGGATCATTAATTAAAGATGATGTAGGATACTTTGATTCATAGTAACTGCATTTAGTACTCATCCCAAAATCAAACCTGCCCTAAGAGCAAGGGTTGTCACAAGGTCAATGAAGGTGAAAACATTCCAACACACATTGTCAGATATTGTTTGTGATTTAAGAAGAATTTCGCTTTATGATCATGAGTATACGTAGTAATATGATATGATATGATATGATATGATATGATATGATATAATATGAATAATATAATATAATATAATATATTACATTATATTAGAATAATATAATATAATATAATATAATATAATATAATATAATATAATATAATATAATATAATATAATATAATATAATATAATATAATATGAATGCTACAAACACATTCCCACCTTTTTGAAATAACAGGTCCTCCTTTCCTTTGCTGGTCCACATTAACCTATGTTGGTCGTGGGAGGCGACTAAATGGATTTTGTGGCCAGGCTCAGTGACAGGCTTCATTGCGTGCCATCATTGGTAACCCGACGGACATACAGATAGAACATTGCCGTGTACGGCGTTAAACAACAAACAAATATACAAACAAAACGAAATGTGAGGTTCGCCTTCCAGCTTCTGATTTTACCCGATGTGGAGTATTGAACACTTCAGAAGAGGCCGCTGTTGTTCAGCTTGTCAACAGATCAATATAGATTTAATTATAGAGGGCCAGCAGCATATACGTTCATACGACTGAGTGAACATGAGTTAAACATGTTGTCTGTTGCGGAATGAATGGAATCAATTACCTAAGTATTACCCTTGGCAATGGTCCGAGGTCAGACACTGTAGCCACTCAATCCACATTCCATTCAACAAGCGGGTCGTACACTCTTCCTCGTATTCCAAACGGTAGGAGTAAACGTCTAATACATGCTACACTTGCAAAAAAACCCAGTCCCTGTGTGTATGTGTGTGTGTGTGCGTGTGTGTGTGAGCGTGTGTGTGTGTGCGCGTGTGTGCGCGTGTGCGTGTGTGTGCGTGTTTGTGTGTGTGTATACTATATATTGTAATATGGCAGTGTAATGTATTGTTGAACAATGATTGTAACTGTATTACATTGTTTCTGTTGACACTCTGTAGAAGTTCATTGTATTGTATTTGGACAACGATTAGTTGTCAGGAATGTATTACTATTTAATGAAAGCAAGTGACGAAGGTATTATATTTAGATGCTCTAAATATCTGTAAATTTCCGCAATAGCATGGGTGTCAAGCGCAGTAGAAACATGTGGATTATTCTGTGATTTTCTACTGACACTGGACTGGTCTGGCACTGTGTAGAAAGTGCTTGAAGCTAGTTAGACTATATAAGGAGAGCGGGCGCGTGCGTGTCATCTCACATTTCATCTGACATTTTATCTGACATTACACCAAGATTACTTTTCGTGTGAAGATCACTGATCACACCGGATTCCTGACCCAGGCGGAACCATTCATTCAGTAACAGCCACGTGGCATTGTCTTCAACAAGACTGAGCGAGACCGCTTACGGCGGGACTCACACAGAACTTTCGGAACAAGGCCAACATTCGTTTTTTTACCCTGGCCGGCATGTTCTCCTGATATGAACCCCAACGGACATTTATGGGTTCACCTTGACCGACAGATCAGAAGACAACCAGCGGCACCAGTCAACTGTCAAGAACTGGAACGATGTCTCCTTGAGGAATGGCAGCGGATTACTCTCAGCGTCATCCGTTCGTCGCCGTGTTAAGGCGTGCATTAATGCACAAGCCGGCACTCGGTATTTTGTTCAATCTCATTAAAATCAGATCTTAGTTCTCGCTACTGCTAAACAAAGATCATCCCATTACGGGTCACGTCAGACCGACCTTGCGCGAACTTTGACTGACCATTTACAGCACTAATTTCAAATTTTTGACAAATTCTCAATTACAAATTTGAAACCTGAACAAAAGAACATTCTGGAATGGCCAGTAGATGGTCTAGATTGTATGAATTCAGTCGTTAAACCCGTAACTATCGTTCGGAATACCCCGTGTTAAAATTTTCGAGGTTGTATGATTAGAAATCACATTCCGATCTGGTAAGCGACGCTCTGATTGGTCGGATGAAAGGTCGTTCTGACGTGACCCCTAATGGGATGTCTTTAGATCTTTGTTTAGCGGTAGCGAGAACTAAGGTCTGATTTTAATGAGATTGTATTTTGTTGGTTTTGAATGTGCTTTCAGAAATGTTTAAGTCACGTTGAACAAGTGTTATTGTGAAACTTGTCATTTTGGACGCCCATGTGTCTTTGTGTCTCAGTCGTATAGTTTTTGTTTGGATAACATGAGCAGTTTCGCACATTATGTTTAATGTGGCTGCTTGTGCTAGTCTGGACTATAGCCATTTTCATCGTACTAGATACCATAACGCAGTTAAACATGAATAAGCTACTCAGACACAGTGTACCGAATCCGAGCCGACCAGACCTTGTTTTAGCCCAATAATGCCGAGCGCCAGACAGGGTAACAACAAATACCATTTTGAACGGTTTTGGGTATGACGCGGCCGGAGATCGACCCCGGACCTTCCGCTCTCCGGGCGGACGCTCCACCAATAGACCCCGGAGGCGGCCTCTACTCCTTTGGGGGGACAAAGTGTAAACTCAGCATATGCTGCTATGTTTTAACCAAAACATGGGACTTGACGAACTATTTGCACTTACCTTACAAGTTGAATGTTAAGTGCGCCACTTTTCCCCCTAACATTCTGCTTCCGCGGTTCCATGACATGCTTAAAAAAACCAGAGACCATATACCGATATATGGCCTCTGAAAAAACATAGTTGCCTATTTGGAAAATATTCAAATGAAAAGCCCAAGCAGCCCAAGTACATCATCAAACCTTCTTCATGGTCATATTTAGGTGTCTTTTGTTAATGAATGATAATTAATAAATTATTGATTACTGTATCCACATTTTTATCTTGTCCACTAGACTGACATTTAGTCTCAGAAATAAAGTTATCTTATTTAAAAATTAAATCTACCCAAAAAATTGAATAAAATCTAAATGGGGCCAGGAACAATCCTCAATCCTAGAGCTGAGGCAATCTAGACTTGCCAAATCAATGTAGACTTGAGTTGGACTCCTTTTTAAAATTATTTACACGCTTCCGAGAGATATGTGATTGTAGGACGTTTCAGTCAATTACTTCCGTGCAATTCTTTGATATCTGGTGTGGATGACGTGTTACTTTTTGCCATTTCAAATACTTTAAGAAACCGTTGGAAATGGTTCGTCGGATAATCAAGACTGGTTTTATGTTTACTTGTACGGGGTCGATGTTGCTGCTGGTGGACTGAATTCCCCGAGTTTCATCATAAGTTCAGTAGCATGTATATATGCTGAGTCAGGAAAGAAATGTTTAGGCCGAAATATTAAAACTGCCCTCCCCTGTGTTGCAAAATGAATATATTTCTGAAACGTTTTTTCTTAGCAACAGAATCTCTGCAATTGTTCACAGCAGACGTAATTCAGAGTTAACGTTTTTAGTTTCAACAAAATCAGCAAATGCACTATGGTGTGCCTGGATTTCTGAGCCATCACTTGATTGTCTGGTTTGGTTATATGCCGGCGTCGCATGGCAGGAGCACTGCTGTGTAGTGTCAGGCAACAAACTCTACATTTGTATACATATTGTTTGAGTGTCAGGTGGTACCGATAGGGCAGGACTTACCCTTTTCGCAATTGCAGAGGACGACTATAACTTTTGACATGAAACAGTTACAAAACATGTCTTAAGATGATCGATTTCGATCTCTACATTTCACCATGAATAGGTCACTTTGTAAACAATAATGAATGTGTTTCGTCAGAAAATTATTACAAGAAACGATATAAGAAAATTGATCACATATCGTGTATAAATGTGGGCGAGTCTGGAGGCGTGAATGAACGTCATGCGAACGTGAGGCAACATTTGAGTGTTGGTCTGTATGGCTGCCAGAATGGCTGCCTCTGCGCATTGTCCTTGAAAGAAAACATACTGGCGCCAATAGTTGTGCCATCTAGTCCATGCTGGTCCACGTTTTCTTCCAGACTATAACGCCGCAGGTATAACTTCCCCCCACCAGCATACTTTAGTATAACCAGAATGCAATGACTAGCCACAATGAATTAACATGATCGGTAGACGTGTACGCCGACGTCAAAGTCCTTCCAAAGCGTAGTTCGGAGTTGTCTAGATTCCCTCCAGTTGTCATTGGGAGTTTGATTCGGACCATACCACGCCGTATAAACGAATGTTTGATCAGTGAGTGAGTGAGTGAGTTGGGTTTAACGCCGCTTTTAACAGTATTCCAGTTATATCACGGCGTGTCAGCTTAATGTGGGAGGAAAGCCCGAAGTGATGCAGGTCTCAGACGTTTACCACTTCGGTGAAAGCCACGAGCACGGGTTTGGTGCTGACAAACCTAGAAACATAATCGGGGCGAACCGGGATTCGAACCCACAATCATAGGTTTCTGGCGTGCCCAAGGGACGCAACTCTGCACAACGAATCGCGGCACCTCAGACGACTGGGCCACCCGTGCCACCGAATGTTTGATCAAACGTTCATTTTTAAAAATCGTCTTTCTTTTTCATCTTTATTTATCTAGTATCTGCTCACATGCAGTTTATTTGTTCCCCGACCATTCGATTCATATGCATTCCAGGCATCATACTCAACTCCCTGGAAAGTATACAAACCCAATGATGACAATCACTGGATTGTCTGGTTTAGACTCGATTATTTACAGACCGCCGTCATATAGCTTGAATATTGCTGAGTGCGGCGTTAAACAGCAAACAAACAAACCAACATGTTATATATTTGGAGTTTTTGGTATGTGTTTCATCAAACACATTTAACTGAGAAACACTCCTTCCTTGAGTATAGATGGGCGTCTTTTGGAAATTGTCCTCTTTATTGATGAACTGTTCAGTTACGTACCTAAAACAGTATCTACCTTTCTAAGCATGGTTATTTGTTTTAAATGTTTGCACTGTAAACTATGGTATCTCCGTTTAATCGCGTAAATCTGTTTGACTTGTACTCTTATGACTTATAACATATATTTTCACTTCTTTCATAACACTCTTAATCAATAATCTTCACGCCGCATGTTGTGATCAGCCAATACTTAGGTGGAAACGTCCCTTGTTGTAGAAAGCTACACAAAACAAGTCTTTGAATCAGATCGATAAAAACAGAGCTACGCTGAAACCGTAAACTCTTGGAGCTCCTGTCTGCAAGCTGGGACCTTGTCAATGTCCCATGTATAATATTATGTTCATGTATGTGCACGAAGAACGCATTAAGAATATCGGGAGCGCTTTCTGCAGTTTAACGTTTCATTCGTTGATGTTTACCTGTGCTCGAAGGGAAACACATTTCCCGCATATCAACAGGGAAGGTACAATATACAAAATACCATATCTGCACTATTGAAGAAATAATAGTAAAGACTAAAAAATAAGACATAATTTGTGATAATAATCGGTATAGATCTTGAAGTAATACATGTACGAGCATGTTAATAGCCAGCTGCTAACATGCATTGTTTCATATCTGAACTTCCTGTAAAAAAATACGTCTACACACGCACGCACGCTCACACGTACGCAAGCAAAATATTTTTTTATAACCCAAAATAATAACCAGATAAACACGGTTGTCGCAAAAGGCGATTAACGGGATTGTGTGGTCAGGCTCGCTGACATGGTTGATGCATGTCATCGTATCTCAATGGACATGATGTCTATCACTGGATTGTCTGGTCCAGACTCTATAGTTTTAGTCTATGGTATACAGGTGTTACGTATCAGTGACAGTAATGTCCGATGCAATGTCCTCTTTGGACTTTACTATGTGTTCTCGTGGGGGACTATCGCAACTATTGGAGGGGAAGGAAGGGAAAGATTTGTTCAAGATGTTACTGTATTTTGTATGATGTGGTGTGATCTTAATAAACTCTCAATCTAGATCTCCAACACACTGTTGCAATTTGCAATCTGGTGAAGGGTGGTGATTAAACTTGTGATCAAATGTGAACGTGTCAACATAGCATAGCATTGTTTGAAGAAGCCAGACCCCTAGGGCTATGAGTGAGTGAGTGAGTATGGTTTTACGCCGCTTTTAGCAATATTCCAGCAATATCACGGCGGGGGGACACCAGAAATAGGCTTCACACATTGTACCCATGTCGGGAATCGAACCCGGGTCTTCAGCGTGACGAGCGAACGCTTTAACTACTAGGCTACCCGACCGCCCCTCCTAGGGCTATGAAGTTAATTTGGTTATGTAAGCATTGATGGCACAGGTATCAGCATATATAAAACAAAAGCAATGTGATATGATCCTCATGTTTTAGTACTGTAACACGAACATAGAAAACTATTCAAATACAAAGTATACCCATGATATCTTTCAAAGACATGTAAATATTTGAAATTTTCAAAAATTTCTAAATATTTTGTGCCCCAGAAAATGCTCATATTTCAAACCTATGTAAATATCGAAACTGGTCAGATATTTTACATCCTAGGGTAATCAAACGAAATGCATTTGAAACGTACTATGATCAGGTATTCACTGGGGTATCAACTTCATTTGTGGAATATTCTGCAAATACGGTCACATCATTCATGACAATGCTCCTTGTGCATACAACTATAAACGATGACCATAAGTTTTAAAGTTGTAGCTTCATATAAAAGTTCATATCGGGAATCCTACGCAAATCCGGTCATTGTACGCATTTGATACTGTATATGTGTTTTTTCAAAGATGTAAATCTGGCTTGTGGTCCAGTGTATTGAACTACCGTGGCAGTACCGCCGCGATACTACACCGTGCTAATGCGGAAACATCATGGCACAACCGCAGCAATCACGCTATCCTTCAGAACTGTACACCACAAGGAACAAGCAATACTGAGGCGAGTGAATGTGAGCAGTTGTGTATCGCTGAAAGACATTGCGTATACAATATACATTCAAATATAAAATGTCAATGCAAGAGAAAAGCAAGCCTAGATTTGCTGCCGAAGATTCCATACACCACAATCAGTCGATACCTAGGGCGCGTCGAAGTCACGAAACGCTTAGAGAAAGCAAATTATTCTCTCATCCCGGGGTCTCCAAAATTGTGAAGCGTTTGCGCACTCTTCCAAAAAAGCGGCGCAACTACCGCTTGGTTGCCTTGACGTAGAAGAACGTAATAGAATAGGCTCGACGACAAACAGATGTAATTTATGACTACTTTGAAGATGTGGGGCAGACTTAGGATGATAGGGTGTTAGCTACCTTTCTTCATTTCCTCGTTGATCCAGGCAAGAATTTCTTGTTCCGCTGTCAAAGTCAGCCGCCATTTTGGTTTAAGAACGAAGCGACCTCAGCCAGCGATTGTTTCGCTTGCAAGCGGCTGAAAGTTGCTGTACATCGCTTGCAAGCGATTCGCGCTTTGCAACGCACCCCTAATCGCATCAAGAAGCACTACGATGACGTAGGTACTCCTGTCGCCGTTGCCACATGGGCAATATCAAGTTTGAATAAACAGGAGAGAATACAACTTTACACTTATCATCTTCGTTGAAACAATTCAAAAGTGTTCTCCCATTAAGTTTATAAAGTTCTGGATTGAGGTTTTTCAAATTGGCCAGGAAACTACGCGCCATGCCAAACAAGAAGACGTCATCGACCCAGAAGAAGGGAACGAGACGCGTTGCCTTATACAACGCTGGAATTACAGATCCGGGCATTACAACAGCAAAGCCACTACAGTAGTCCACTGGGAAATAGTCGTAATGCCTGAATTGATATTTCTGTACACTCCATTTCCCACGTCTGTTGACTTTAACGGCGTCATGTTCATATAAAACCCGACAGAGGATACAGTTTGTTAAGGGTATATCATGATATATGTATGGGAAAAAGTTATCAAGATCCACGAAAACATCATCGTCGGTTTTGACGACGTATTTCACGTTCCTGCAGTTGTGGCTGATCCATTTTAATCCCATGACAGCTTTATATGTCAAGTTCCTATAGCTGTCCAGAAACTGACCTTGGATAATGTCTCCATACTGGTTGAATTCTTGGTTGATACGGTCCTGGAGTTTTGCATCGTACCTCGTTAATCCAAGGAGAAACAGCAGATGAATAGTGTAGTTTTTGTAATTCGAGCCTTTAAGAACAGTCCTAAAAACACCGCGGCGATCATGATTGCCTCCAGCACTGTGCACAACGAAGAGAAGATCCACTTGAGAAACACCTTTACATAACAGTTTATTTTCCAGAACTACGCTTAACCGCGCATCTGTGTCACCTCGCGTCAACCTATGTCGATTTACGTTTGTGTCGTTGATCTCCTGGTAATAAATCTTTTTCCAGTCGCGTTCTTCACGATATCTGTATGTGTCTGAGATTGTCTTGTTCTTAACTGTGTGCAATCCAAATATGTATATGACAATGGAGACGCAGGCTTGGATCAGTACCAAGCAGATGAACACACTTTTTGTTCCAACATTCATGCTGATTTATTCGTCACAACATGAAACAAGTCTAGCGCTAAACAGATCCGAATCTCCGCCAGAAGAACAATACCAAAGCTTTATTTTCCTCCTGATCCGGTTCCATGAGCGTACCGTCTGTCCATGGCGGAGTTTAGGGCTGGAACATGCAGTGAAAGAAAACGGGTTAGTATCAACGTCATTTGTCGCGCTGTGTTTCTGTCTTTCAGTGGTGGGGGTAGTCTCGTGGTTAAAACGTTCGCTCGTCACGCCAAAGACCCGGGTACGATTTCCCACATTGGTACAATGTGTGAAGCCCATTTCTGGTGTCCCCCGCCGTGTTATTGCTGGAATATTGCTAAAACCTGCGTTTTACCATTGCTTGAAATATACCAGTGTCCATCATCTCGATCTAATTTGTAAAAGCAAAATGATTGGACAATTTGTGCGTACTTCATTATGTTAAGTTTGACAGGCATGTCCATAAAGATATGAAAGCCTTACCTATCTCTGACGATGTCGACCACAGCAGCCTTCAACATAACTCAAATAACACTCAAGCTGTGGTTCGTCTGATAATCAATGTTCAGTTGTAGCTTGGTATCGTCATCATTGTCAGCGGAATGGCAAGTGGGCGGAGCGAAAGTCGGCTATTCTTCACAGTATGAGAATACTATCATAATGTTCTCATGAAAAGTCACTGGTTGTTGATGCGACATCTGGTCAAACATTGACAGCAAGATTCGTTATCTGATTCTATGTATTGAGTGTTGCTTGTGTACGAGGGCCATTCAATATATAACCAGCCTAAGCTATTTATCAGATCTTAACGGTTGCATGCTTGTCACGTGCTGTGCACCAATGTATGTCATGTGCATAGACAAAGTTTCACTGAGGAAATTGTATTTGAAGTCACACACGTGATCTATAAAGATGGCAAGGGTAGATGCTGCCAAATTTTCGTCAAAGGTTGAATACAGGGCTGTTATTAGGTACCTCTACTTAAAAGGGAAACCGGGAAAGGAGATACATGATAAATTGTCAGATGTTTATGGTGACAGTGCACCTTCGTATGCACAGGTCAAATTCTGGGTTGCAGAATTTAAGAGGGGTCGGGTGAACTTGGAAGATGAGCCACGCCCTGGCAGGCCTGACCAATGGCCAAACCAGTGAAGCTGTGAGACAACTGGTTGTCAAAGACAGGCGAATGAAGGTGTCAGAAATGGCCAAGGCCTGGCTTCGTCATTGTTAGTCTACAATAACAAGTGTTTGATTCTTGAGACAGAAGAAAGACATACTACTGTTTGTCAATAAGGAGTATGCAGAACATTCGACCTACTTCAGACTATTGTTTACTCTTTAAAAAATAAATATGTGTATATCACTCGGGATGTCAAAAGTAAAGGAGGAAATGCATTGACAGGCATAAAAAATGTTCATTTTTAACATTTAGACGTGTAATTGATTTTCTTAAAGTAAAGTAATTTTTGTTGTTGACACATTTAGATATTATTTTTTTTCAAATGACAATGATAAACTTTCTCATTCAGGATTAAACTTCTTCTTTCAGAGTCAGTGATTTAAATATTAAGGATCCGAGTTAGAATTGTTCTTCAGCAACCCATGCTTGTCGAAAGAGGCAACTGTCGGGATCGGGTGGTCAAGCTCGCTGACTTGGTTGATGAATGTCATCGTAATCACGTTGCGTAGATCTATGCTCGTGATGTCAATCACTGGATTGACTGGTCCAGACTTGATTATGTACAGAACGCGGTCATATATTGCTGCGTGCGGCGTTAAACAACAAACAACAACGTAACGTTAGCGACTCTGGCTGTATCGGATATGTATCGATTAGGTGTCCAACGTAGAAAACGACCACTCGAATCATTATGGCCGGCTGAAACAAACATTTGAAAATTTGGAACGTATACTTCTTTTCACAACGCCCAGAACGTGAGTCTTAATAAAGACTTCGTGAGAAAAACTCGATCATAGGGGTCTGCTATAAATACCGTATTCGACATAATAAGCGCCAAGGGCGCTCTCAAAATTAGAAATAGGGGGCTCTTATTAGAATATTATTTTGTTGAAAAACAACAGAGTTGAAAGATCGTAAATTTCGTGGGTTTTGCTGACAGCCTGAAATCTTTATAAACGACAGATATATTTTTCCAGAATTTAATTTACCATGATTAAGGATGCATAAAACACACATATTATTCACTCAAAGAAGTAGCTATAGAAGCCATGGAGGAGTACAATGTTGGCGTGAACTCCCCCCCCCCCCCCAATTGTATCATGCAGAGTGCCATCCGATCTGCAGTCATGTTTGTGCTCAGAATCGACCACTCATTTCAACATTGGTTATGTACCTGTACTCCTTTAGAATAAATATTACCCAAAGCCATGTTAAGCTTCGATGTAAAAATAGTCATAACGACCCTTAAATATCATAATGATCATTTGCAAAAGCATTATATTAATTATTTTGTGTAAAGACAACTCCGATGTTTCAGATTTTCCAGAAGGAGCTAACAATATGAAATCACCAACTATTCAGCTGTAATAATTATTGGATATAAAACGAGCTTCCCATTTGATATCGATGCCAAAATATAAATAACGTCCCTTTTAATATCAGAATCCTCATTTGCAAAAGCAATATATTCATATGTAAAAAGACATACTCCGATGTTCAAGATCTTCCAGAAGGAGTGAGTGAGTGAGTGAGTGAGTATGGTTTTACGCCGCTTTTAGCAATATTCCAGCAATATCACGGCGGGGGACACCAGAAATGGGCTTCACACATTGTACCCATGTCGGGAATCGAACCCGGGCCTTCGGCGTGACGAGCGAACGCTTTAACCACTAGGCTACCCGACCGCCCTTCAGAAGGAACTTATCAATATGTTATATTATCACCAAGTGTTCAGCTGTTATAATTATTGGATATGAAACGAGCTTCACATTTGATTTCAAGTTGATGTCCCGAGTGGAATATTTCACGAGTGACATAAGCTTGACGTGAAATGGGAACAAGTTTTATATCATATTTATTACCAACGATGATGTTTAATCAATTATCAACTAGACTACGCCATGTTGATGTGTCCTTTTGATGAGAACAAAGTGCCCATCGATACAACACGTGCAAAATGCCCCTGCGAACTAGACAGCTGAAAGATTTGGGACATCGAAGCAAATGGCATGCTTTTGTCATCCCACAGTCGCCACAGTCGGATATATACATATCTTAAATAGAAACAACACGTTAACGTTGAAATGGCTGGTACTATCGTAACGATGAGGCTCACGCAGTATTGTGTGTCCATAGAGGAGTGCTGCATTGAAGTATGATAAGAAGGAGCTTACGTTCAGTTTAGTGTTACAAACAAAAAGGCATGATCGCGGATGAGTTTCGCCGGTTTTTGTTTTTGTCGCATGACGAATTTCACCACTGTAGATCGGCACTCGGCGGCGTTTGACATGCACAAATGTGTGTCATTCGAAGGTGTGAGATTCAAATAGTGAGTTGGGCAGGGCAGCCCACCACTCTGACTGGATTTCATACATGATAGAACCCGCATCTACAAATCAGTTGTTATCACAACCTCATCAAAAATCGGTAACTTACCTTACGTTTGCCTAGGTTTTACGATTGGACCGCCTCCGTTGTCTCGTGGTAGAGCGTGCACCCGGAGAGCTGAAGGTCCGGGATTCGATCTCCGACCGCGTCATACTAAAAGACATAAAAAGATGATACTTGTTGTTACCCTGTCTGGCGCTCGGCATTATTGGGCTTAACCAAGGATTGGTCGGCTCTAAGTCAGTATACTGTGTCTTAAAGGGGTATTAATGTTAAAACTGCGGCATGGTATCTCAGTGAGCTAGAATTATAAACCGGCATCAGTCCGGACTGGTACAAGCACAAATACACACGCACGCACACACACATACACAAGCACGCACGCACGCACGCACGCACACACACACACACACACATGTACACACGCCCCCCCCCCCCCCCCCCCCCCCCCCCCCCCCACGTACATGTACCTCGCTATATAAGTGCAATAGTGCAATAATCTTGGACGGGACATTAAAACAAATTTCAGTTTACTTCACTGTCATGATCAGATTCCTTCTCAGTTCACATCTCTCAACGTCTACCCAAAGCCACAGATAGTAGGCCCGTATTCGTCAATAGTGATTTCGCACACATGGATTTCAAAGACCTGATTGACTTGTTCGGCCATTTTTGTAGTCCATTAGACAGCAGGCGCTTCTAATGAAAGTGTATTCACTTCTATCTGGACCAAGAACATAATACTAGTATATGAAACTCGTATGTTGCTGATACATTTATGTATATTTGCAAATGCATTATGTATATAAGTCTGCTTAAATGAATAAACCTACATTGTGAAGCAATGTTATATCTATAAAAGAATTCACCTTGGTGGTTACCCTCCCTTGCGTGATATTTGTGGATTAGTGCCTGTAGATTAACCCAGTCACCAGACGGTCGAGGACATGTACACCTGAAACAGACTTCAATCTTTGTACCCATTTTGTACTTCGGTGCGACGGGCGAACGCGTAAACCACTAAACTACCAAACTGCCCTTTTCAGAATTTAGGACAACTCATAACTTGTATTTGCGATGAGTGACGCGTTTGTAAAATGATAACAGAACACATTCACAATTCTTTTCCGTTTACAGTCGGTTAACATTTGTTTTTAATCATACAGAACTTACCCCCGAATGCAGAGTACGTATGATACCACGTTTTGAATATTTAATATGTATTCCCTTGAATCTGTATTTGACTGTCTTCAAATTGTGAAAAAGCTTTCGGTTTCACAATAAAAAGGATAGCGCTAAGGCACTGTTGCTCACCGGGTATATTCAGAGTCAGCTGAATGATATATTTAGTGAAATCTTCAGCCATCAAGCGAGGAAAATGTGGCTGCTGATGATAATGTGGTCTGCGGATGGACAGTATTATGTCGATATTCTTTAAGCGTCTTTGTGGTGATACGCATTCGTGTAAAGTATGAGGTG